GTGAACTCCCCCACGCTGCCGTGCCCGCCGCCGCTCCTTGCCTCCCCCCCCCCGTGCCACACCTTTCTCCCCTGCAACGCACCAATCGAGTTAATCAAATTATATCTAATTGAATTAGCCAGTGCTCCAGTGCCCCCTGAGGAATTTAAATGCCCCCGACTTAGGAATTCCTGGCTACAGGCCTGTGGGGAAGCCGGCCGGCCTGCATCTCCCCCCGCCCCCCATACCCCTCGCACATCGACAGCACACTCCTGTGCGAGCGAACACCCAGCTCTCGGGTCATGCGAGGTTGGCCGAGGGATGCAGCAACCCAGTTTCTTCCCATTCCTTTCCGGATGTCAAGCTCACGCCAGGGCTACGTCGCTTTCTACCACAGGAAGCTTGGTGCAAACACCTGAACGCCGGCCAAGAAAGGAGAGGGGGGAAAGATAGCCCAGGGAAAAGAGGGAAATGCCCAGACAGTCAGTTCTGGGCTTTGATACTATGGAGAGAAGAATAATAGGGACTGTGGCGAGAAGAATTATAGCCTCAGACACAGAACTGAAAAGAGGCCTGTGGAGAACATTGGCGAGCAGGAATTGGGGAGGTTGTCTCTGCACGGAGAGGCAGGATCGGCGGAGAAGGAGAGATGAACAAATTGATAGTGCGGTGAGATGGTAGAGTGGTGGCTGATGGGCGAGGAGGGCGGGCTTGGGGGATGGGGAGAAGATGGTGGGGGGACGACTTGACAGACGGTGGGCAAATGAAGGAGTGCTTAGGGCATGGGGGGAAAGGGTGCGGGTTTTCATAACGTAAGAGAAGCCATGCTGGATCAGGCCAGTGACCCCTCCAGTTCAGCGCTCTGTGTCACACAGAGGCCAAAACCCAGATGCCATTAGGAGGTCCACCAGCAGGGCCAAAACTCCAGAAGTCTAACCCACTGTGACCCCACAAGTACCAAGAATACAGAGCATCACTGCCCAAGACATGAGAACATAAGAGGAGCCATGTTGGATCAGGCCAATGGCCCATCCGGTCCAACACTCTGTGTCACTCAGAGGCCAAAATGCAGATGCCATCAGGAGGTCCACCAGTGGGGCCAGAACTCCAGAAGTCCTCCCACTGTGACCCCCCAAGCACCAAGAACAAAGAGCATCACTGCCCCAGACCTAACAACGTAAGAGATGTTGGATGAGGTCAGTGGACCATCCAGTCCAGCACCCCGTGTCACACAGTGGCCAAAATCCAGGGGCCATCAAGAGGTCCACCAGCAGGGCCAGAACTCCAGAAGCCCTCCCACTGTGACCCCCCAAGCACCAAGAACAAAGAGCATCACTGCCCCAGACCTAACAACGTAAGAGATGTTGGATGAGGTCAGTGGACCATCCAGTCCAGCACCCCGTGTCACACAGTGGCCAAAATCCAGGGGCCATCAAGAGGTCCACCAGCAGGGCCAGAACTCCAGAAGCCCTCCCACTGTGACCCCCTCAAGCACCAAGAACACAGAGCATCACTGCCCCAGACCTAACAACTTAAGAGATGTTGGATGAGGCCAGCGGTCCATCCAGTCCAGCACCCTGTTTCACACAGTAGCCAAAACCCAGGTGCCATCAGGAGGTCCACCAGCGGGGCCAGAACTCCAGGAGCCCTCCCACTCCTGCCCCCCAATCACCCAAGAATACAGAGCATCACTGCCCCAGACAGAGTGTTCCTTCTAAACCCTGTGGCTGGCTAATGGCTACTGATGGACCTTTGCTCCAGATGTTTCTCCAGTCTCCTCTGGAAGCTATCTGTGCTTGTAGCCACCATCACCTCCTGCGGCAGTGAATTCCATGTGTTAATTACCCCAGTCCTTCAGCCACTTAATTTCCTAGGAGATTCAACTCCCACAGACTGCAGCACTGGCTAGGAGGAGGTTAAAGCGCCCTACAAATGATGGGGGGTGTAGTGGCCAGATCAGAGCAGGATAGAGGAGTCCTGAGTTCAGATCCCTGCTCTGCCACAGAAGCTCATCCGGTGACCTTGGGCCCAGTCCCACACTCTCAGCCTAACCTACCTCACAGGGTTGTTGTGAGGATAAAATGAATGATTTAAGCGTCCTGGGGTCCCCCTTGGGGAGGAAGGTGGAGCACAAATGAAGTCAACAAATAAGCAAGGCGGTGATGTGTAGTGGTTAGAGGGTCAGACCTGGAAGGCCTGGGTTCAAATCCACTGGCTGCCACCCAGCTGATTGAGTGACCTTAGAATCATAGAAAGTTAAGAGTTGGAAGTGACCTTGCAGGTCATCTAGTCCAACCCCCTGCACTCTGCAGGAGCACAGCCGAAAGATAGCCCTGCAACATACCCGAAAGATGGTCGTCCAGCCTCCGCCTGAAAATGTCCGGCGAAGGAGGCTCCACCACCTCCCGAGGCAGACTGTTCCACTGCTCAACCACTCTCACAGCTAGGAAGTTTCTCCTGATATTTAGCCGGTAACGACTCCCTTGTCATTTCCACCCATTAGATCTAGTCTTGCAGTCCGGAGCAAGAGAGAATAGATCCGCTCCGTCTTCTACATGACAGTCCTTCAGATATTGGAAGACTGCAATCATGTCCCCTCTAAGCCTTCTCTTTCCCAGGCTAAACAGACCCAACTCTTTTGGCCTTTCCTCGTAAGACTTGGATTCCAGCCCTCTCACCATCCTGGTTGCCCTCTTCTGGACACGCTCAAGCTTGTCAACATCCTTCCTCCAATGTGGTGCCCAAAACTGGACACAGGACTCCAGGCGAGGCCTGACCATAGCAGAATAGAGCGGAACTACCACCTCCCATGATCTGGACACAATGCTTCTGTTCATACTTCCTAAGACTGCAATAGCTTTCTTTGCAGTCACATCGCACTGCAGGCTCATGTTTAGCTTGTGGGCCAGTCACCTTCTGTCAGCCCAATCCATCTCACAGGGCTGTTGTGAGAACGAAACTGGGGAAAGGGAACTCATGGACCTGAGCTCCTTAGGGAGAGGAGGATAGAAATGTAAAACAGCCAGAGGGGCCAAAGTCATGAAGAGGGGGCAGAGGGGCACGTGGTTTAGGGAGGCTCCTGATCTGATGCCATTCCCAGCATTGGCGGCTTTCAAAAACAGGTCCCACTGGTGCTCTGGCTGAAAAAGGTGCCCTCCACTGAACACAAGAGTCATTAAGATGAGGAGAAGAAACATGAACGCACGAAGATGCCTTAGAGCGAAACAGATCCATCAAGAACAGTCTGGTCTACCCTGCCCAGCAGTGGCTTTCCAGGGTCTCAGGTTGAGGCCTTTCACATCCCCTACTGCCTAGGCATGCTGGGGATTGAACCATCTACATGCCAGAGAAGAGACTCTGCCACTGAGACACAGCTTCTCACACACACACACACACACACACAAAGAAATAGACTGGAAATCCTGCTCACTCTAGAGATCACACATTGTCAAGCCACCTTATACTGAAAGAGACCTTGGATGCATCAAGGCTGGTACTGCCCACTCTGCCTGGCAGCAGCTCTCCAGGGTCTCAGGCAGAGGTCTTCACATCCCCTCCTGCCTGGTGCTTTTTCACAGGAGATGCTGGGGACTGAACCTGGGACCTTCTGCATGCCATGAAATGTCAGAAGAGCCCTATGGGGTCACACAAGTGGTCCATCTACTCCAGCATCCTGTCCTACACAGTGGCCAACCAGTTCCTCACAGGACACAGAGGCTGAGGCCTTCATAAGAACATAAGAAGAGCCCTGCTGGATCAGACCAGTGGGCCACCTAGTCCAGCATCCTGTCTCACACACAGTAGCCTACCAGCTCCTCTGGAGGGCCAACAACAGGGCATAGAGGCCGAGGCCTTCATTAGAACATCAGAAGAGCCCTGCTGGATCAGACCAGTGGTCCATCTAGTCCAGCATCCCATCTCACACAGTGGCCTACCAGCCCCTCTGGAGGGCCAACAACAGGACAAAGAGGCTGAGGTCTTCATAAGAATATCAGAAGAGCCCTGCTGGATCAGACCACTGGTTGATCTAGTCCAGCATCCTGTCTCACACGGTGGCCAATCAGTTTCTCTGGAGGGTCAACAACAGGACATAGAGGCCTTCATAAAAATATAAGAAGAACCCTGCTGAATCAGACCAGGGGTCCATCTACCCCAGCATCCTGTCCTACACAGTGGCCAACCATTTCTTCTGGAGGGCCAGCAACAGGGCACAGAGGCTGAGGCCTTCATCAGAAGAGCCCCGCTAGATCAGACCAGTGGCCCACCTAGTCCAGCATCCTACCTCAAACAATGGCCAACCAGTTCTTCTAGAGGGTCAATAACAAGGCAGAGAGGCCTTCATGAGAACATCAGAAGAGCCCTGCTGGATCAGACCAGGGGTCCATCCAGTCCAGCATCCTGTCTCACACAGTGACCAGCCAGTTCCTCTGGAGGGCCAACAACAGGACACAGAGGCCTTCATAAGAGTATAAGAAAAACCCTGCTGGATCAAACCAGGGGTCCATCTTGTCCAACTTCCTGTCTCACACAGCGGCCAAGCAGATGCTCCACTGCTCATGCACAGACCCTCCCCGCCTGTTGCCGAGTAAGGGAGGAGAGGGGGCCATGCAGAGCAAGGAGGGAGGGCTCAGGCCAGGTCCGTAGCTACTGTGCGGCATCTCGGGGCTAGGCCCCCTGACTTACCAGCAAGGCCCCATGACTTCCCATCCAGCCCAGGGCCCCCATGCGTTGGCAGGTGCAGGGAAGGAGCCAGGCGTTCCTTTAATTCAATTAGCCAGTGCCCCGGGCCCGTAGCTCCAGTGGGGCATCTCGGGGCTAGGCCCCCTGACTTGCTGGCCAGGCCCCCTGACTTCCCATCTAGCCCAGAGTGTCATGGCCTCCTCCCCCAGATTAAATTGATTAGCCAGTGCCCCCTGAGAAATTGAAAAGTCCTGGCTCCAGGCCGTCCTCCACCCCCACCCGCAGGGTGTCGGATCCCTCCCTCCCCTGCCCCCCCGGAAGCGAGGGGCGGGCCCCCTCACCTTGTGGAGCTTCCACATGGCGCCCAGGGCCTTGACCTCGTGGCTGGCGTGCTTGCCCTCCTCCAGGCACTGGTAGCAGACGGGGCTCTTGCACTGGACGCAGTACATGCTGTGGTTCTCGAGCTCGTGGTCGGTGCAGGTGGAGATCTTGCGGGGGCTGAGGCGGCGGCTGACCCGTCCCTGGGCGGGGGGCAGGAGGCGGTGCTTGGCCAGCGGGCCGCGGGGCGGGTGGCAGCGGAGGCGGCAGGGGTCGCAGTAGAAGACGTCGCACTGCTCGCACATGACGGTGGCCTCCTTGGGCGCCTTCTCGCACAGCTGGCAGCGGAGGGCGGCCGCCTTGCTCTGCTGGTAGCGGTCGATGACCCCCTCGAGGACGCGGTTCTTGGGGAAGCCGCGGAGGCCCCGCTCGTCGAGGATGAGGCTGCGGTGGCAGAGCGGGCAGGTGAGGCAGGAGTTGGGCGGCACCGGCGCCAGCGAGGAGGAGGAGGCGGCCGAGGCGGGGGGCGGCAGGTGGGGCGGCAGGGGGGGCGGCAGGGGGGGCGGCAGGTGGGGCGGCGGGAGCGGGACGGCCGGCGGGAAGACGCGCACGCCGTTGGGCGACTTCTGGCAGGGGGTGGTGGGCGCGCTGGCGAAGCCGCCGTAGGAGCCGTAGCCGCTGTCGGCCTCGCTGTAGAGGCTCATCTTGTCCAGGTCCAGGTAGTCGTAGTCGGCCGTGCCGGAGGCGCGCCGGCTCTGCGGGGACTCGGCCTCGGGGGTCTGCACCAGGATGTTGCGGGCGCAGGCCTGGCACAGGTTGTGCGAGCAGGGCAGGATGAGCGGCTCGCGGAAGAAGGAGCCGCACACCGGGCACTTCAGCTCCTCCTCCATCTCGTCCATCGGCCGGGCCGGCGTTCAGCACCGCGGACAGCGACGAGCGGCGCCTAATTGCCTGCCTGCCTGCCTGCCTACTTGCCTGCCTGCCCATCCGCCTCCCCTGCGCTCCGAGGCAGCACTGGCGACCCCCGACGCCGACGCCGGCCCTCCGCGCCG